TTTTTTAAAAAAATAATGTTTTATTATTACCAGCAGGAGGGACGTGCATAGGGTGGTAGATGCACTGAGCCTGGGATGATGTGGTCCGTGAGGAGATGATGATGAATGGGAAGCTGGAAGGAAAGTGAGTAGGTCTGGAGGCCAGTTCCAAGGGCTCCTCAGGGGCCCTTCTGGGAACGGCTAAAGGACTCATGGCAAACTATTGGCAGTCCACCAATAAGATTAAGAAATTCTTGGAAATCTAGCTGCCCATCACTGTTCACGTCCAATTTCTTCATCGTGCGGTCAAGGACACTGGGATCCTTCTGGCTCTTTGTGAAGGCAGCCAGTTCTGCATTCATGAAGGTTAGGAACTCAGTCTTGGAAAGTGTAGAGCTGTTAGCATCCTTTCCAGCATACCTCCGGAAAACAGCAATCAGACTTGATGCACCGCTCGGTCTCTGTAGGGCTGGATATTTTTGTCACGTCGGAGTAGAGCAAGGCGCGGAGGCTGTGAGTGGGGAACAGTGCAGCGAGCTCTCTGCTCTAGCTTTATAATAAATTTTAGAGTTAGGTAGTATAGCTTCTCCAACTTAAAAAAAATTGCTTTGGCTTTTTAAGGTCATTTGCACTTCCATTTAAATTTTAGAATCAGCTTGTCCATTCCTATAAATAGTGCCTGCTGGGAATTTAATTGGATTGTTCTAAATCTGTAAATCACTTTTGGAAGAATTAACATTTTAACAGTATTGAGACTTTAGTTTCATGAACATGGTATATCTCTCTATTTAGTGACGTCTTCTTGTAGTGCTAGAGCCGCTAAATGGGGAGCTGCTTAAGTGTTCGTGATATTCTGAAAAAGTCACCCAGAGAACTAGCAGGTGTGGACATGTCATTTATTACTCACATTACAGGGGAAAGCACCGAGGGCAGAAGGTTGTTGCTAGAGAGACTGCACCTCTTCTAGTCTGAGGTTCGTTATAAGGGGTCCCAGAAAAAGGAGGCACATGTCCGACTCTAAACTACATTACCTCCGTGTGTACCAGCAGAAAGAAAAGTTCAAGAAGCAGTTATACAGGACAAGAAGCAGCTCCTAAAAGGAGATAAGAAGGGAATTACAGTCCATTTCCAAAACAATACATTATTCCTTCTGGCCAGGAGCTCTCTGGCCAGTCATCACCTTTAAACGCCTTTGCCCATTGATGGGTGATGTACCAGCGCACCTACCCACATCATGCTGAGTGTTAGCAGTTTTTGACCAAAAACAGCATGGCCCCCATGCCCCACCCTCCCTATTCACCTGATCTCACCCCGAGTGCCTTCTTTTGTTTCCTCATGAAAAACGTCCTCAAAGGGACGTTTTGGTGATGTGGAAGAGGTGAAACAAAAAATAGCAGAAGCACTGAAGGACACAAAAATCAGTGAGTTCAAAAACTGTTTTGAGCAGTGGGGAAAAAATGATCTTCCTTCCTTTCCTTCTCCCTCCCTTCCATCCATCTTTCCTTCCTTTCTTTTTTCTTCCCTGGCAATCAAATCTATGCATAGGATTTCAATACTATTTTTTCTCTAGCCAGGGTATGTCTATTTGATAATTTCATTGGTTGTCTAATAGGCATCGCAAACTTAACATTAAAGAAATAAAATGCTCTTTGGATCATTCATTTTACAACTGTTTTTGTATTTTTTCCGTATCAATTAATGGTAACTCATTTTTATTTTTCCATTTGCACAGGCCAGTCTATATCATTTTGCCATTGTTATTTCAAATGAATAGAAAACTAGGATGAAAGTCTGATTCTACTGATAAGTGTAGGTTTCATAAACTTAGTGAAATTTGCATAAAGATGGGAATCATTAGTATCCTGAAAGTACACCAGGCTTTCTCTCAAATTGGATGCTTGGTGCGTTAAGTCTGATATCTATGTACAGTAAGCCCACCGTTAACATTGTCAATAGGTTCTTTTTTCAATAAATCCTATAAATGTATTTTTTCTTCTTTATGATATTCTTAGTAACATTTTCTTTCTCTAGATTTCTTTTTGTAAGAATATGATATATGATACATACAGCATATGAAATGTGTTAACTGTTTATGTTATCAGTAAGGCTTCTGGTCAATAGTAGGCTATTAGTGGTTAAGTTGTGGGGGAATCAAAAGTTACATGCAGATTTTTGACTATGCAGGGGTCTGTGCCCTTAACCGCTCTGCATAGTTCAAGGGTCAGCTGTACTTATTTTCTCAGCTTTTCTTTGTCTTTTAGTACATCGATGTTTTTGAAGTATACATGCCATTTATTTTATAAGATGTTTCTCAATTCTTATTTTTTTGTTGTTTCTTTATGATCGATTTAGGTTCTGTCATTTGGGTAGAAAGCTATGTAAGCAATATTGTGATCTTTATAGTATATCACACCTAGAGTCATGTGATAACCACTTGCCACTTTTTGGCGATCTTAATTTTGATCTCTTAGTAAAGATGCTGTTTGTTTTCTTCCTTGCATAATTACTTTTTTTCTTTTGTAACTAAAAAGCAATTGTGGATAGATATTTTGTGACTTTGCATTCCAAATCAAACTTCACCACTTAGGTTTAGGATCCATTGCTGATTCTTACTTGAATCAATTTCTTGTAACTTTTGATTTTGATATTTCAAACTGAGAGAAGAGTTGCAACAGTAGCACAAAGAACCTCTATATACTCTTTACTCTAATTCAATAATTTTTTACACTTTACATTTTTAATCTGTAAAGTGGGCATAATAAGAATAGCTAGCTCAAGTAGTTTTGGTTATGTCTCCTGGTTTCACTGAAAATAATTTGTTTTTCTTATTGTTCTGTGTATCCGTAAAGTATTCTTCTATAACTAGTTAATCTTCCCATATTTTTTCTTCATTTAAGGTTTCTGAATACTGATTATTTTCTGTAAGTTATTTTGTGGGTGTGCATTTGTATATATACCTACATATGAGCTTAGCAATGTTATTTACTTTTTAGATTACTCTTTCATGTAGTCTTGGAACAAGTATTTTTTAAATCACAAAATTCAACGTAAAGGCTATGGGATTAAAGAAAGCCAATCCACAAACTCTTTTCAGCCATGACTCTTTTTAAAATTACCTGTCCTTGTGAGTGTTCTTTGATTCATTTTATTTCAATTCAATCTGTATATAAAATGCCTACTCTATTTAAAAGATACTGTAGGAAAAAATTAGGTGATCAAAATGCCTTATATTTGTAATGTTTTGCAGTTTACATAACACTTTGAATATGCATTTTGTATTTGATATTGCCAATTACTCAGAAAATAGATAGCTCAGATAGTTTTATTTCCATTTCATATGAGGAAATTGAGAGCTTAGACATTTGTGACTTAACCAGGGTTACATAGCTAGTGAGTGGCAGCTTAAGCATGAACCAAAGCACAAGCTTTAAGTTCTTAATTCTCCCACACGACCTCTATACAGTGACTAAGTGTACATTCATTTATGCAAAGGTCTGACCACAATGGGGGTGTGCTTAATTTATTCACTTAAAGCAGTATTTATCTTCATCACTTATTATAAGTGCTTACAGGACAGCGATAGAAGCGGTTAAATGAGATCAAAGTGTCTTATAGGTTCATATGAATTCCTAGAAGGTGGCATATATATACGCTTGTATATATGAGAGTGGTTATGTCATATTTTTTCCTCTTTTATTGGAGGGTCTATTTTATGTGACTATTGAAAATAGTGGTGAGCTGATATTGGAGACTATGTTGATTATAATCAGTGTTAAAGATCAATACATTAAAAATCCTTACTTACCATGCACTATTTTTAAATTGATTTTTTACTTGTGGTATTATGGGTTATGTTTCTGCCTTCCCCCACCTTACCCGTAATTTCTAAAAGGTTTGGTGCCAGAGAGAACGGAACTGTATCTTTATTTTCTCATCACATCTCTCGAATAGATAATACTTCCATTGCTCTCTTTCCAATTTGGCTCTGAGGCACTGCTGTGATTCTAGCTGTTGAAAGGCTTTCAAGTTAGCAATTAGTATTCTGGTTAAGTAAAAATTGTTGTGAGGCTGCTATTCTTACCAATGCAACTAAGGTAGTTTTATTAAATCAGTTATTAAGCTCATATCAGAGGCATATGACAATTGCATTTCACAATAATTCCCTAAGTATTGATACATGAGGTTTGCTAGAAATTAAATCTAAAATTTTATACTCGTAATTCTGAGCTTGGTGAAACCAATAATTTATCAAGTCCAATAAAGGCATATCTATGCTGCTTTAATCTGTCTTTACCATTTTTGCCTTAGGTGATTAAAATTTGCTGTTCTGTTAATTAATAAATTCAAAGGAAATGTTCTAATTAGTTCTGTCATAACTGGGAACCATAGTAAGTTAGAGTACTTTAGAAAGCACGGCGGTCTATTGGATAACACCTGCTCATTAGAAGATAGCAATTCTTTTGCCTGGCTCTTTTCCAGTCTCACTAACTGTGTCTAAATGTGTGAACCTCTTACCATCTGGGTACTTCAGTTTCCCTCTAAATTAAGAAAAGGAAAAAAAAAACCCCTCTTATCTGTGTTCTACCTAATGCAAGGAGTTTTGAAAGATAATGGAAGGTCATTGAAGTGATTATGACCAATATATAATATTTATTAGTTAAAATTTATAACTATTTAAAAATCATTGGTTTTAAAATAGACTATTTTAAAATAGTAATGTACTATTTAAAAACCAGTGATTCTCTTAGTGTACTTTATTGCTTAATCTTAAAACTTATTTTTAGAACAGATAGTATTTAAAGACCAGTTTTACTGTTGAATTTGACAGGCATGGCATGAAGCCAATATAGTGAGCCTGAAGGAAGAATTTGCAGAGTATCCAGGTTAAAGGAGCTCTGGAGCTGACTCACTATGAACTCTAGGCTATCCATGTTCATTCCTGCTGAGTGGAGATTTGCTTAAAGTTGTCTGTTTTCTTCCTTCTGTATCATCTGATTCTAATCTGCACTTGTCTTTTATAGCTGGAGACAGTCGGATGGCAGCTTAACCTTCAGATGGCTCATTCTGCTCAAGCAAAACTGAAATCTCCTCAAGCTGTGTTACAGCTAGGAGTGAGCAATGAAGATTCAACGGTAAGACATGGTAGCCCATTGAAAGGATTTTTTTTTTTTTTACCAAGTCTTGTGCTTTATTGTTAGAGGTCATTGTTCTCTGTATTGAAAATTTAAACACAGTTCAATTAAAATTAAACAAGGCTTAGCAAATTAACAGATCTTTATTTGTGACAGAATTTGGTGTCATATTTACATATCACTTTGTTATTTATTTGAAGAAATAGTTTATCTTTTAAGCTGCCTTTCTTGCAAGAGTATTTCATAATGTCCTCTTTTAAGTTCTGCAGTGGAAAAAAAATCGTAGTAGCTATATAAAATTATGATTTTAATGTCTTAGCTATTTGTGGATATTCTTGGGTATTTTGTGGTTTAGGCTGAATACACATGGTAGAGGGAATGTTATTGATGTTCAGCCAATACTAGTATGTTAAGATGAGTTGTATTCGTGCTTTTGTAGTATGTGTGTGCATGTGTTTAAATTCCAGCTCTTGCAAAATAGAATTTTGGACCTATTTTGTACTGCAGAGTGATTTCTTTAGTATTAGTTTCAGAAAACTTGAATGTGTTATTAAAGGTTAAAGGGTTTTATGGAATAGTTTTTCATACTGTAGCATATAGAGAAATGCATATTTCATATATCAATGAGAGCTATTTTTATATTTTTAAATTGCAGTTATGTTTTTTAAAATAGAGAAGGGAGAGTGACCTTTTTTCCCTAAACAAATGAGACACTCTCATTTTAAGACATGAAATAGAGGTGAGAATGAGGTAGGAAGATATGAGGAAGGAGAGATTACTATGGCTGGATGTAATCGGAGAATAATGAAGAAATGCTATTGCTTGTAACATTTGAAGGATATTGAAGGTTAGAAATACTGACTTTTTTTGTTAGCGCTTTTACTGTTTATTATATAATACACATTTCTGTCTTCCATAAGAACTGGGTCCAGTGCCTGGCCCAGGTTACATGTCAACAAAATTGTAGGCAGTTAAGTTGGGTCCTTTTTCAAAATAAAATAATTTATTGAATTTGTTGGGGTGACATTCGTTATGAATAAAATTATATAGGTTTCAGGTGTACAATTCCATAATATATCATCTGTATATTGTATTCTGTGTTTACCACCCAAAGTCAGTCTTGTTCCTTTAACATTTATTTCCTCCTTACCCTCCGCTACCTCTCTCCCCTTTTCTCTCTGGTAATCACCATACTGATGTCTTTATGAGAGTTTTTTTTGGTGTTGTTGCTTAATCCCTTCACCTTCTTTTATCACCCACCTACGGAATAACCTTCCCCTCTACAACTATCAGTCTGTTTTCTGTATCTGTGGGTCTGTTTCTGTTTTGTTTGTGTATTTATTTTGTTCATTTCATTAGATTCCACGTATGAGTGAAATCATATGGTACTTTTCTTTCTCTGACTGTCTTGTTTCACTTAGCATAATATTCTTCAGGTCCATTTATGCTGTTGCAAAGGGAAGATTTTCTTCGTTTTTACCATTAAGTAGTATTCCATTGTATAAACGAACCACAGCTGTTTTATCCACTCATCTATCGATGGGCACTTGGGCTGCTTCCAAATCTTGGCTGTTGTAAATAATGCTTCACTGAACATAGGGGTGCCTGTGTTCTTTAGAATTAGTGTTTTGGGGTACTTTGGATAAATTCCCAAAATTAGAAATGCTGGGTCATCAGGCAGTTCCATTTTTAATTTTTTGAGGCAGCCCCATACTGCTTTTCACTGTTTCTGCACCAATATGCATTTCTACCAACAATGCATGAGGGTTCCCCTTTGTCCACATCCTCACCAACATTGTTTGTTGATTTACTGATGATCACCATTCTGACAGATACGAAGTAATGATACCTCATTGTGGTTTAATTTGCATTTCTTTCATGATTAGTGACATTGAGCACCTTTCATATGCTTATTGGCCATCTGTATGTCCTCTTCACGGAAGTGTCTGTTCACATCCTATGCCCATATTTTCATTGGATTGCTCATTTTTTTGGTGTTGAGTTGTATAAGTACTGTGTAAATTTTGGATATTAATTTCTTGTCAGATGAATCATTGGCAGCTATGCTCTCACATTCAGTGGGTTGTCTTTTCATTTCCTGTGCAAAAATGTTTTAGTTTGATGTAGTCCCATTTGTTTCAATTATCTCTGGTTTCCCTTACTTGAAGAGATATATCGAAAAAAAAAAAAAAGGTGCTGCAAGAAATGTCCAAGATTTTACTCCCTATGTTTTCTTCTCAGATTTTTGTGGTTTCAAGTCTAACATTTAACTCTTTATGCATTTTGAGGTTTATCTTCATGCATGTAAGAAGGTAGTCTAGTTTTCATTGTTTTTGCTTGTATCTGTCCAATATTCCCAGTAACACTTGTTGAATAGACTATCTTTACTCCAGTATAGGTTTTTGCATCCTTTGTTGAGCTGTTAATTGACTATCAAGGTGTAGACTTATTTCTTCGTTTTCTGTTCTGTTCCATTGATCTATGTGTCTGTTGTTATGACAGTACCATCCAGTTTTGATTACTGTGGACTTTGTAGTATAGTTTGATATTAGGTGGCATGATTCCTCCAACTTTGTTCTTCTTTCTCATGATCGCTCTTGCTATTTGGGATCTTTGTGGTTCCATATAAATTTTTGGAATATTTGTTTTTATTCTGGGAAATACACCATTGGTATCTTGAAAGGAATTGTGTTGAATCTATAGATTGCTTTAGGTAGTATGGACGTTTTAATAATGTTAGTTATTCCTGTCTATGAACACAGCTTATTCTTCCGCTTATTTGTATCTTCAGTTTCTTTCTTCATTGTCTTAAAGTTTTCTGAGTACAGGTCTTTTATCTCCTTGGTTAAATTTATGCCTAGGTATTTTACTACTCTTTTTGAAGCATTTGTGAAATGGGATTGTTTTCTTAGTGTTCTTTCTGATATTATTGGTGTATATAAATGCAACTGATTTCTATATATTTATTTTGAAACCTGCTGCTTTACTGAATTTATTTACCAATTCTAGTAGTTTTTTGGTGGAATTTTTAGGTTTCTTCATATACAGTGTCATGTTATCTGCAAATAATGACAGTTTTACTTCTTCCTTTTTAATTTGGATGCCTTTTATTTGTTCTTGTCTGATTGCTGTGGCTAGGACTTCCTGTACTATGTTGAATAAGAGAGGTGAAAGGGACATCCCTGTCTTATTCCCAATCTTAAGGGAAATGCTTTTAGTTTTTGCTCATTAAGTATGATGTTCGCTGTGAGTTAGTCATATATAGTCTTTATTATGTTGCGGTACGTTCCCCCTGTTCTCACTTTGATGAGAGTTTTTATCATAAATGGATGCTGGATTTTATCAAATGTTTTATCTAAATCTATTGATAGGATCATGTAATTTTATTCCTCATTTTGTTTATATGGCATTTCATGGTTATTGATTTCCAGATATTTTACCAACCTTGCATCATCAGAATAAATCCTACTTGTTCATAGTGTGTGATTTTTTTAATGTATTGCTGGATCCAATTTGTTAATATTTTGTTGAGGATTTTGACATCTATTTTGGTCAGGGATATTGGATTATAATTTTCTTTGTAGTATCTTTATCTGGTGTTGGAATTAGGATAATGTTGGCCTCATAAAATTAGCTTGGGAATCTTCCCTCCTATTTAACTTTATGGAATTGTTTGAGAAGGAGAGGTGTTAGTTTTTCTTTGAGTGTTTGGTAAAATTCACCTGTCTTTGGTATGTTGGGCGTACTTTGATTACTGCTTCAAATTTGTTAGTTGTAATTGGTCTATTCACATTTTCTGATTATTCCTGATTCAGTTTGTCTCTTGTTAAATTTTTTTGAAGCCTAATTTGTCTGATTTAAGTATTGCAATGCCAGCCTTATTTCCTTTCCATTTGCATGAAATATATTTTTCCATTTTTTAACTTTTAGTCTGTGTGTATTCTTCGTTTCTTGTAACTATCATATATATGGGTCATGTTTTCTTATTCATTCAGCTATCCTATGCCGTCATCGTCTTTTTTTTTTAAATCCTCACCTGGGAATATGTTTAATGATTTGAGAGAGAGAGAGGAAGGGGGAGAGAGAGAGGAACATTGATCTGAGAGAGAAACATCAGTCAGTTGCCTCCTTTACATGCCCATGCAGAGGATCAAACCCACAATCAAGGTTTGTGCCCTGATTGGGGATTGAACCCACAACCTTTTGCTATATGGGATGATGCTCTAGCCAACTGAGCCTCCTGGCAAGGGCTTCCCTGTGCCTTTTGACTGGAGCTTTTAAGACATTTACATTTACAGTGATTATTGATATATATGTATTTACTGCCATTTTATTCTTTATAACCTTTGTTCGTTCTTTTTCTCCTTTTACTTAAAGAAGATCCTTTAATATTTCTTGCAATACTGGTTTGGTGGTAATGAACTCCTGTAACTTTTTTCTTTGTGTGGAAAGCTCTTGTTTTCCTTCAATTTTAAACAGTATCCTTGCTAGTAAAGTAGTCTTGGTTGTAGTTATTTGCTTTTCATTACTTGAATATTTCATGCCAGTCCCTTCTGGCCTAAAATGGTTCTGATGAGAAATCAACTGACAGTCTTATGGGAGTTAACCTTGTAGGTAACTCACTGTTTTTCTCTTGCTGCTTTTAAGATTCTCTTTTTGTTCTTCATCTTTGCCATTTTAAATAATGTGTCTTAAGTGGTAACTTTGAGTTCATGCTGTTTGGGACTCTTGTGCTTCCTGGACCTGTGTGGTTTTTTTTCCCATGGTAGGGAAGTTTTCGGTCATCATTTCTGCAAATAGGTTCTTGATCACTTATTCTTTCTCTTCATTCTGGTAATTCTATGATGTGGATGTTGTTATGCTTTGTGTTGTCTCAAAGGTTCCTTAAACTATCCTCATTTTTTAAATTCTTTTTTTCTTTTTGCTGCTTTGATTTGGTGTTTTCTGCTACCTTTTCTTCCAAATTGTTGATTCGATCCCCTGCTTCATTGAACCTGCTT